CATTCTTTTGTGTGGAATGGCTGTACAAATATATTTGCCTTTAAATATTAGATTGAATATCACTTTCTTGTTAATTTCAGGAGTTTTATGAACACATTTACTGTAAATGTTATTGCAGCATAATTGACACAAATTGATCTATACATATTTAAAGTGTGCAAGTTGATTAGTTTTGACATATGTATATACTCATGAAACCATCAAGACAATCAAGATAATGAACTCATCTGTTACCCACAAAAGGTTCCTTATGACCCTTGGCTATTCCTAAGCTTTACCACCCTGTTTTCTAGTCTCCAGGTCACTATAAATTAATTTACATTTTTAGAATTTTATATGAATTAAATCATACAGGAAAAAAAGACGCAGATGTAGAGAATGGACTTGAGGACATGGGGAGTGGGAAGGGTAAGCTGGAATGAAGAGAGTGGCATGGACATCTATACACTACCAAATGTAAAATAGATGGCTAGTGGGACGCAGCCACATAGCACAGGGAGATCAGCTCGGTGCTTTGTGACCACCTAGAGGGGTGGGATAGGGAGGGTAGGAGGGAGGTAGATGCAAGAGGGAGGAGATATGAGGATATATGTATATGTATAGCTGATTCACTTTGTTATAAAGCAGAGACTAACACACTATTGTAAAGCAATTGTACTCCAATAAAGATGTTAAAAAAAAATCATACAGTATGGACTCATTCTATTTTGCTTCTTTCATTCAGCATAATTACTTAGAGATTGCTCTATATTATTGTATATATCAATAGGTCATTGCTGTTGGGGAGCTGTTGTTTACTAAATATAGAATTTTGGTTTTGCAAGTTGAAAAAGTTCTGGAGATGGTTGTACAATAGTGTGAATATACTTAATGCTATCAAACTGTACACTTAGAAATGGTTAAGATAGTAAATTTTATGTTATGCATTTTTAACATAATAAACATAATTTTAAAACCCTTTTGTTTTTAGCTTAAACAATTGGTGAATTTTACTAATAATAATTTTAAAAAACTGGAGAAAGGCAAGAATTGCAAAGACATGGTAGAATCAATGTTCTGGCCATGTTTGAATTTTAAAATACCTGTTAGAGAGCCAAGAATTGAGATCCATAAGCAGATGGAGAGTCACATTTGGAGTACAGTGGAAAGGTCAGGCTGCAGAAATAAATTTGGTAGTCAAAAGGATATAGATAATAATTAAAGCCATGGACCTGAATGAGAACACCTACAGGAAAATATAGACTGAGAAGAGAACAGAGTTCAGGACCAACCAAATATTATTATTCAGGCAAAGGAGGAGAAGCCAGCAAATGAACCTAAATTGAAAGGCCTGCAAACGATGATAAACATCACAAGCATATGGCATCACTAAAGCCAAGAGAAAACAATGTTTCAGGAAGGAATTAGTTAATTGAGTTCAGAAACTATTGAGTGATCAGGTAAGATGAAATTTATTTTAGTGGCTTGAGAGTATGGGCTAAGTGTTAACTGAGAAGGAACTGAAAAGTGAGAAAGATCTTTTGAGATATTTTCGAATGAAGAAATATATTGACATGAGGGAGTTCAATTCAAATATATTGAATTGAAGAGATACATTGTTGGTGGGAGGGTTTTATCCTTAAATACAGGGAAATGTTAAAACAGGATTTTAAATTATGGGAATGATTTAGTGCAGAGGGGGTAAATGATGTGAATGAGAGAGATTAGCATGAGAAAATTCTTTGAACATCTACAAGGGTTCATGGGTAAAGTTCAGAGGAGTTTGGTAGATCGGTAGGATGGATTAGGAGAGTTGGGAACTCCTATATAGTGGCTACTATTTTCTCAGTGAGGAAAATTTAAAGTAATCCAGTCCACTGTAATTAAGTTTGAAAATAGGGCTTTCCTGGTGGCGCAGTGGTTGAGAGTCTGCCTGCCGATGCAGGGGACATGGGTTTGTGCCCCGGTCCGGGAGGATCCCACATGCCGCAGAGCAGCTGGACCCGTGAGCCATGGCCGCTGAGCCTGCGCGTCCAGAGCCTGTGCTCCGCAACGGGAGAGGCCACAACAGTGAGAGGCCCGCGTACCACAAAAAAAAAAAAAGAAAAGAAATAACATAAAGAAAGGGAAAATACTTATCTTGTTCACTATTGTACCCTAAGAACTTAAATAATCTGTTACCTAGTAGATACTTAATAGGTAATTCTTAAATTTAAAAAAAATGTTTAAAGTTAAATCACAAGGAATTATCTTTTCAAAGTTCATTTGCTAATCATTTCCAAAATCATTAGGCCTAGGAAGAGACCTTTTCTTTCCTCAGTGTATTATAGCTGCAAATACATTATAATAATTCTCTAAATGTTTATTCCTTCTTTCAAATCAGCAAACTAAAGCACATAAAGTTTTTTTGTCTCATTAAATTCTTTTTTTTTAGGTTGAAGTATATTTGACTTATATTAGTTTCAGGTGTACAACATAGTGATTTGATTTTTTTTTTTTTTTTTTTTTTGCGGTACACGGGCCTCTCACTGTTGTGGCCTCTCCCGTTGCGGAGCACAGGCTCCGGACGCGCAGGCTCAGCGGCCATGGCTCATGGGCCCAGCCGCTCCACGGCATGTGGGATCTTCCCGGACCTGGGCACGAACCCATGTCCCCTGCATTGGCAGGCGGACTCTCAACCGCTGCGCCACCAGGGAAGCCTGTGATTTGATATTTTTATAGACTATACTCCATATAAAGTTATTATAAAATATTGACTATTTTCCCTGTGCTGTACATTACATCTTTGTAACATTTATATTATACCTAGTAGTTTGTACCTCTTGTTCCCCTTCACCTATTTTCCCCCTTCTCTCCCCTTCCCACACTTCTCCCCTCCAGTAACCACTAGTTTGTTCCCTGTTTCTGTTTTGTTGTATTTGTTCTTCTGTTTTATTTTTTAGATTCCACACATAAGTGAAAGCATACAATATTTGTCTTTCTCTGATTTATTTCACTAAGCATAATACTATCCAGGTCCATCTATTTTGTTTCATATTGCAAAATTTCATTCTTTTTATGGCGAGTAATATTGCATTGTGTATAGACACATCTTCCTTATTCATCTGTTTCTTTAGATTGCTTTCATATCTTAGCTATTTTAAATAATGCTACTATGAACATTGGCGTGCATATAACTTTTTGAATAGTGTCACCTCACACCTGTCAGAAAGGCTATTGTCAGAAAGACAAGAAATAGCAAGTGTTGGCAGGGATATGGAGAAAAGGGAACCCTTGTAATACTGTTTGTGGGAATGTAAGTTGGTTCAACCACTATGAAAAACAGTATGGAGATTCCTCAAAAAATTGAAAAGAGGACTACTATATGATTCAGGAATTCCACTCGAAAGAAATTGAAAACACAAACTTTTCTTTTAATCTTGGAAATACTGTTTTAGAAGAAGTGATTTAAGACCTAGTTGAACAACACCAGAAGAGCCTACCGTTAAGTATTTACTACAGTAATTTGTCAAATCATTTCTCTTTTATGAGCCTTATTTTTCTCATGTGTAAAATGGAGAGCCTTAATGCCCTCTTCACTATTCTGATGAAAGAATTAAATAAGAATGTGTTAGTGGGAAATTTTATAAAGGCAAATGTTATATAATAAGGGAGATAACAGTTCACTGATACTAACCTTAAAAAAAAAAGAAAAAAAACCAACAGTGTGAAGGGCTTCCTCCTCCACACTCTGTCTCTCTAAGTAACATAATGAGAATATGAGTCATCTGTGTTCTTGGAAGAGTAGTATATGTATATCTGTCTGTAGTATTTGGAATCATAATTAAAATTTTTAAATGGCACTGATACCTACAGATAAAAATAAGGAATATTCTGCTTTCAAGGCTTTAAGTTCTTTAAATTTAGTTAAAGATGTTACTTTTAAAGGCTCAGCAATACATAGAATTTTACACTTGTAGAATATCTAGATTTTTACTTCTAGGAAACATAAATTGTCATAATTTATATTTTTAGAGATTTATACAGTCATTTGTATAGTCATAAATTGTTTTGATATACTTGTGTAATTTGTATGATGAAAACTAAACTATCAAATATAAAAATGCAAAATAGCCCCACAACCTTCTATGCAGTTAATTCATATTTTTCAAATGGTGGCACTGCTGATAACTATTAACCAGTCTTCATACACTTGGGAAGCAAGGCAAAGATCACATACTCATATGGTTGTAAGATCAATGTATTGCTCAGATCATTGTTAGAAATGATACAGTTTGAGATTGTTTTACATTGAAGCTTATTTTTTGATCTAGTGTTCACTTTTTCTTGGTAATAAATATGCCTCTCACAGTTATAATCAGTTAATGCTCTCATGAATATTATATGTTTAAAAATAAGAAAAAAGTCCAGCTGTGTAACCCTTCATTGCTCCCATAAAAATTAAAGGATATGATTGTGTTTGGACCCCTCTGAAGGTTTGGGAAGAGGAACAGTGGAATACAAGACTTAGAAATCCAACATAGTTGGTCTCAGACTCTAGGGTATGTTGTAGACATTACTGATGTGGTTTCTGTGCAAAGTAGAGATGTGGAGTGGTCACCTGACTTTTACCAAATAGGAATGAAAGAGACCTAATAATACTGATCCCTCATTAGCATATAAATAAGGGACTGAATATTGTCAAATTTCAAAATGAAGACACAATAGATGCCAAGTAAATGTATTTATCTATGTCATCTGATTTAAAATGCTTTTTAAAAAACCTTGAACCACACTTTCAGAAACCAAATGTATTGACATAGTAGTAGAACTGACACTCACAAATTCATGGTTTCTTTAAAGATACTAATCTCAGCAATGAATAGAGAAAATCAAACAGCAAGTATTGAAAGCAGAAACGTAATTGGCCTGTTTGGAAAAAGTTTACTAGGGTAACAGTGACTAGATTCAACATGCAACTGCCATCATGATGAATGTTTACAACATTTTTTTGAGAGCCAATTATACTGTTTTTTGTGCAGGGACTGGAGATCAGCCAGATCAGTTGTTTGCACAAAGCCGCTTTGGGTCTGCCTTTTCAAACAAAAGCTGCAGAAAATGTTATAGCAAGGTTGAAGCTTTATTCCACTCTGGTAAGAGAAGCTTTCTTTTTCTTTACTATAGTGAGAGTTTGATAAGAAATCCTTTTAAACCATAATGCGATCAGGGAGAAGAGAAGCTGTTCTGTGTAACAAGTCATAAAATGCTTTCTTTTCTTTTGAACTGTTTTTTCATGATGCTTTTTGCCTGTACGTTATAGTGAAATAAAACTGAAACACTAAGTGCTACTGTACATGTTAAATTTGTACTGGAGGTAGGGGAGTCTTAATGTACTCTTCTGGAGAATGAAATGTGGTGTTATTTTATGTTTTATACTCTAGATCTCCTGGTCAGGACAAAAGGAAAAAAGTCAGTATTCTGACACCATGGCTGAGAGTGAATCCATGTGTTTAAGTTTTCCCCTGACCAGTGATGTTATTAATGCCCAACAGCTCACCACCATAAAGCTTCAAGAACCCGACCAAATTTGCCCTCTGGGTTTACTTGCAGGCATTTCAGACCACTCTAGCTTCCTTTCATTTTAAAACTTGGAAAAGCTGGGGATAGTAATTCTGGGTGAGTTTGTCTGCATGCAGCTCTCCATAATGTAACTTTACGTATATATATAAAATACAAGATTTTGTTTTTCACAACAATTTCTTTGATCTGTAATATGCTTCAATATTTCCACAAAAATCTTGCCTTGTTATAAACTCTGACTGAATTTGTATCTGTCTAAAATGACAGGAAATAGTTGAGAGTATAAATACACGCCTATGTATATATACACATAAATATATACAAATATTTGACATGTGCACAATTAACTTTAGATAATGGCAGATTTATACATTACAGTAATGTAATCCCTACAGAAGCTTGTCATTTTAAGTTTGCATTATATAACTCTTCATTTTCCTGGTAAACATTTGTTCAGAAAATGATGATGTAAATATCGAAAAGACTTTATAACAAATCACCTGCCTTGAACGCTAAATCTATGTTTTGAGGTGAACTTGTCTGTAGTTTTCAGTAGCTGAATTACATGTGTGATTTTATATATATATATATAATCCATGAGATTTTAATATGAACCTTTTTAGAAATTTATCCCAGAGTAGTATTCCCAGCTTCAAAGGTATAAGCAGCTGGCAATGTCACTCTAATAAGTCACTAATAAATATTCATGTTCATTTGATCATTTTAATAAGCATTTATTGACTCTCTACCTTGCTAGATATTTCAATGAAAAGAAATATGCAGCTTATAAAAGAAATGTAATATATAATATCTGCATAGATTTAAAGATGATTCAACACATATACTTGAAAATAATTTGTATTGAGGTTGTAGCTAAGGAAAAATAGGTAAAAGTATCTTACACACAGAGTCAGGAACAGTCAGGTACAACAATAAATGCAATAAGAATTAATTTTTCAGATTAAAAAATAATTCCACCCTTTAATACATGAGCCTGAAAAACCGTTGCGATGCCATTTTACCCTCTTTTAAATTCTGCATACATTTAATACAACCCATTTTAAGTACTTGAGCTGTGTATGTCATACTGAAAGAAATATAAAGACAGTCCTGCCCCTGAAAGAGAGTCTGGTCTGAAGGTGAGCTCAGCCAAAAAAAAAAAAAAAAAAATTATATCACCATGAGTCCTTATAGTTAAAATAATAATAATGATAACAATAACAATAATTCAGTTAACATTCTGTGGTTTCTTCCCTCTTAAAGACTGTATGTTGCCCTTAGGCACCTGCAACAGGCAACAACAACAGCAGTAAGTCCCAATTCATTTAGTTTCCCCCTTTCCCAATTTTGAAATAAATTTCAGATGGACAAGAGTTTCCTTCTAGGAAAAGAATCATGTTTAATGGTATATATATATATGTATTTTTTTTTCTTTTCATTATCACCTTTACCTTTAGAAAGTTTACTTTGTCACACACACACACACACACACACACACTATTTCATGAGGAGGAAAGAAAGCAAGTAGAGCACATGTGCCCCCTGATGAGTATGGCACAGCAGGATCCCCCAAATTTTTTTACCTTCAAGCGTTTGCTTTTGCTATTTAGGCCAAGAACATGGTTTTTCTATTGTCTGGTGTCCAGGTTTTATCTGTCCTTTATGGCTTAGAGTAGAGGCCACTTTGTATCATGATGTCTTCCCAGCATGCCTCATGCCCAGTCCAGGTAAAATTATCTCTTCCCCCTTTAAACATTCTTATCACTTTGTCATTATGTGGAGAAAAGCCTGAAGTTTATGAACAGCATGCAAATGCCTTATTTCATAATCACAAAGACAATGAGACACTTTGTCACACATTCCCTCCTTCCAGACAATGTTTTCAAGTCTGTTTTTTAAAATGTTACTTGTTAGGAAATTAAATTTTTAATTGCTTTTCAAATTTCCTTTGCCTTCTTTGCCCACCTGCTTTTCTAACAGCTGGTAATCTTGCCTTCTGTTTCACTGAGAAAGTAGAAATCATCTGACGGGGTCCCCCCCACGTTCTTTTGCCTCCAAATCTAAAAAGCTTACTTCAGTCTACACCCATCCCTCTCTTTCCACCTTTTATAGTGGGAGGAAACACCCAAACTTATATCAGGATTCAAACACTCCTCTACTTCTGACTTCTCAGGTATTCACCTCAGTCTGCCAAATCTTTTCTCCTAATCATCAGTTTTATTTTCTCCATAAAATCCTTCCCACTGGAAGTCTATGTTAACCATACATACCTAACAGTCCATGGCTGGGAAGACACATTCCCCTGTTGGTGCCATCCATATTCTGCTATTGTCCACACACTTCTCAAAGAGTTTTTTGTTTTTTGTTTTCTAGACACCATTTCCATGACCCTGTCTACCTCCACTTCTCTCCAATCTTACTCTACCTTCATGACTCTTCCAAACCTTCTCAAGTAGCTATTTGACTTTCTTGTTGATAAATCCACTGGACACTTTTCAGTTCTCATCTTCCTTTTCCACCAGTATATAAAGGTTGACTATTCAGTCCTTTTGAAACACTTTAACCTTTACTTCCCAGATACCACATTCTCATGAATTTATTTGGTTTGTTTGATTTTCCTACTTTTTGGTAGCTTCTTTCCTATTCTTTCTCTTTTACTGGACCATTTGTTTAAGAGTTCTACAAAACTCATGTAAAAGAATGAAATTAGAACAGTCCCTAACACCATACACAAAAATAAACTCAAAATGGATTAAAGACCTAAATGTAAGGCTAGATACTATAAGAGGAAAACATAGGCAGAATACTGTATGACATAAATCAGAGCAAGATCCTTTTTGACCCACCTCCTAGAGAAATGGAAATAAAAATAAAAATAAACAAATGGGACCTAATGAAACTTAAAAGCTTTTGCATAGCAAAGGAAAACATAAACAAGACGAAAATACCACCCTCAGAATGGGAGAAAATATTTGCAAACGAAGCAACTGACAAAGGATTAATCTCCAAAATATACATGTAGCTTATGCAGCTCAATATCAAAAAACAAACACCCAATCCAAAAATGGGCAGAAGGCCTAAATAGACATTTCTCCAAAGAAGATATACAGATTGCCAACAAACACATGAAAGGATGCTCAACATCACTAATCATTAGAGAAATGCAAATCAAAACTACAATGAGGTATCACCTAACACTTGTCAGAATGGCCATCATCAAAAAATCTAGAAACAATAAATGCTGGAGTGGGTGTGGAGAAAAGGGAACCCTCTTGCACTGTTGGTGGGAATGTGAATTGGTACAGCCACTATGGAGAACAGTATGGAGGTTCCTTAAAAAACTAAAAATAGAACTACCATATGACCCAGCAATACCCTGAGAAAACCATAATTTCTCAGCAATACCCTGAGAAAACCATAATTCAAAAAGAGTCATGTACCACAATGTTCATTGCAGCACTATTTACAATAGCCAGGATGTGGAAGCAACCTAAGTGTCCATCGACAAATGAATGGATAAAGAAGATGTGGCACATACATACAATGGAATATTACTCAGCCATAAAAAGAAACAAAATTGAGTTATTTGTAGTCAGGTAGGTGGACCTAGAGTCTGTCATACAGAGTGAAGTTAAGTCAGAAAGAGAAAAACAAATACCGTATGCTAACACATATATATGGAATCTAAAAAAAAAAAAATGGTTCTGAAGAATCTAGGGGCAGGACAGGAATAAATACACAGATGTAGAGAATAGCCTTGAGGACCCAGGGATGGGGAAGGGTAAGGGTAAGCTGGGACGAAGTGAGAGAGTGGCATGGACATATATACACTACCAAATGTAAAATAGATAGCTAGTAGGAAGCAGCCCCATAGCACAGGGAGATCAGCTCAGTGCTTTGTGACCACCTAGAGGGGTGTGACAGGGAGGGTGGGAGGGAGACTCAAGAGGGAGGGGATATGGGGATATGTGTATACATATAGCTGATTCACTTTGTTATACAGCAGAAACTAACACAACATTGTAAAGCAATTATACTCCAATAAAGATGTTAAAAAAAAAAAAGAATGGCACTTCTAAATTTTAAAAACTTATGTATATCTATTATGACAACAAAAGGGGTATAATTTGTGCCATGGAGAACCTTAGTGGTGCAAGACTCTAAAAACAGAATACACCCACCACCCCCATGTTAGCTGATTTTTCTTTTCAATGTGACTTGCAGGAATAAACTATGGTCCAACATTAAAAAAAAAAGGAGCTTCACAAAACTCAGTATGGGTCTAATAATCCGCTCCCTATTTTCTCTCTCTCTCCCTCCCTCCCTTTCTCTATGATCTTCATTACTAACATTTAAACACATTTTAAATATCAGCAATCTTACAGCGAAGTGTACCAATAGCTAGGTTCATCCTCTGATAAAGTAGGGATATACTTGACAAGCATATTAGATTTTGGATCAGCTAATAAAATACCCTCTACCCCAAACAATATTTGATGAGATTCTACCACGCTTCTATTTTGATTTTTTCTGTTTTACTACTGAATGTCACTGTCTTGTTTCATATATTCAC